TGTAACAGTAAGTTTTGAGTAACGTAGGAAGTTGGTCTGTTGAAAGCAGGGGCAGTTTTTTATTTGCGCGGGCAGGGGCCTGACCTTACCTAAGTACTTTTGAGTTGTTAATGATATCTAATAATAATTGAATATAAAATGTTGTGGTATAGTGGTTAAGTATTGTTATTTTTTAGCAAAAGCTTAGAGGATCAAACCTTGAACCCCAATTTTTTGGCTTACTAGAAAGTGTCCCACATGAGAGAAAGAGAAGAGATAATTTTAGTTTATAAGGTAGAGGAGTTACTCTTACTATCACTAATTAATTTTAGTATGGAACCTCCTTAAGCCTTATAAGTGAATCAAACAGTCCTCTTCTTTGTTCGGTTTGTACAAGCCCATCATGTGTTACATCAAAAATTTAAAATGGTATCATAGCTCAGGCTGAGGGTCCATGATGTCCAATCCCTAAGAAAATTATTATTAAGACCTTTCCACTCCGCTCTAAATTTACAACACTAACAAGTGAGGAGGAGTGTTGAAACACATCACACACTGCAACCACCTGCCACACATCATTGCTTTCGAGATGGAGGTTGAAAATTGGTTGGTAATAGAGGTGTGGGCCTGGTATCAATTGTGGTGGTGTTGCAGTCAAGGTTTGTGGTGGTTACTGGTGGAGTCTGGGGTCAAAGGGGTGTGACATTTAAGTGATTATAAGAGGGGAGGGGGCAATATGATCATTAACTACTGCGTGTTGAGTAATTTCATTATGGCATTTAGCAATTTACAAAAGCACTGCTACAGGAATATGAGTAACTACAGTAATTTCTATTGTTGACAATTAGACGTTGAAAATAGAGGTGTCAAAAACTAACCCTCCTGATCCGACTAGAAATCAACCTGAACAAAACTCAATTCAGATTTTAAATTATATGAACACAATAAATTAGCATGACTCAAATGTGAAATAAACTCACAAATCCAAATATCCGAATTGACACCTCTAGTTGGAAACAAATACGGAGTAGAAATGTTAAGCAAAAATTTAAAAGTCTATAAAAAAAATTAAAAAATTCTTTGTACAATTATGTGTTTGAAAAAAAATAAGAAAATTAAAGAGCTGGATGACAAAAAAAGAAACGGATAGAAAGGGAGTTGAATAGGAAAGACCCTTTCGCAAAAACATGTTGAGCAAGTAACAACGGTGACATAGATTGAAGATATCTTGACTACTGTACGGACTTTTTAGTTTTTAAAATAATAATTTTAATTTCATGTGGTATGCAGATGATGCGCTAATATTTGGTTGTTTTTTTGTTTTAAAAGTTGAAAGAGTAATTTTAATTAATTAATGTAAATTTTGTAGTATAGTGAGTACATAGCTTGGACAAACTCGCCCAGCACTCAATGTGTGAATGCCTGGCAGTTGGGTCATTTCAACCCTCATCCCCCCATTTTGTAAATTAATAATTAATAACAGTACTGGTTTCCAATATTATGTACACTTTTTATTTTTTTTATTTATTTTTTAATGGTTTGATAATGACACAAGTCACACCACCCTAATAATTTGGTAATTTCAACCATTTAGACTCACAAAGTGAGATAATTAGAACCAGTGGCGGATCTAGGATTTTCGAATTGGTGAGTCACCATCAATTATTGATCATATATGAAAGTACAAATTTTTTTAACGGGTCTAGTTCATAATTGATTACAATCCAAAAATTACATTAAAAAAAATTAGTTTACAACCAAATTGATTTCAATCCAAAAATAGGACACAAAAATCTATACTACAACCAAATAGTACTTAAATCCATCTTACAAGGCGAAGGTACTGCAAATAATATAACAAACAAATAGTACCCACCTATTACCCTTCATATTAGCCGGAAAAAAAAGTAAATTGACCTTAGAGACCGGTTATTTAATATAAACAATCTCTTTGACCCATTACTCTTAGTAGTACCAAAAAAATAAAAGGACCTTAGAGACCTGTTGTTTAAACAACCGGTCTCTTTCTCCATTAATGTTAATAGTACCAAAAATAAAATAAAAGGACCTTAGAGACCTGTTGTTTATACAACCTGTCTCTTTTTTTTTTTTTAAAAAAAAAGAAAAAGGCAACGGGAGTCAAGAAAGCAACGTAAGTCAATAATGCTAGCATTTAAGAGACCTGTTATTATGAATAATAGGTCTTTTTTTTTGAGCTGGTGATGCACATGCATGAGTGTGCACCAATGTAGCTCCGCCCCTAATTAAAACGTATCCTTGGTAATGCATGATATATTCGTAAAAAAGATACAAAATGATATTAGTGGTACTCCGTAGAAGTTAGTGGGGATGATGGTTATTGAGGTGATACTTCATCCATTTAATAATGAAATGATGTTCTCATTTAGAATTTTTTGTATAAATGAAGGTAAGAGAAGAATGAGATATTGGGATCACTTTCCAAAATAACATTGAGACTATCTTTTTTGGATTAAGACCATTAAAATGAGGATAATATGAGAACATAATAAGAACATGTGAGGAATTAAAATTGGAAGTAGGAATATCAATTTGAAATACCTAAAATGGAATAGGAACATCATTGTGGAATAGTGGGAGTATTATTTTTTGGATTTTTTTTTGAGTTGATAAAACTTGAGTATTTGAGTTGTGGAGCTACGTGGTTAAAACAGACAAGAAGATTAATACAAAATATATTGATAAATAAATAGATGTTATTGGAAACATTATAATTTATACTTCCTCCGTTTTTTTACTTGGCCCACTTTTACTTTTACAGTATTCATCATCCTTTCTTTGAGCGTTTTTTTGTGAATTATTTATAAACATATTCATGAGGAATCTTGTTAGAATCGTCCCAATAAGTACTTTAATAATTTACTTCCTCTGGTCTTCTTTTATTGCACCATAAAGACTTTTATACTATTCATATAATGTTCTTTGACCATCATTTGTGATTTATTTGTAAGGAAAAACATAGTCATGTGGGATTTAGTTAAATTCGTCTTAAAATCTACATTTCAAATATCAAATTTTTATAATTTTATAATAATATACTTCCTCCATTTTTCTTTTATTGCACCATAAAGACTTCTACACTATTCACATAATGTTCTTTGACCATCATTTGTGATTTATCCGTAAGGAAAAACATAGTCATGTGGGATTTAATTAAATTCGTCTTAAAATCTACATTTCAAATATCAAATTTTTATAATTTTTATAAAAATGTAGTTAAAAATATTAATAGGTAAAGTAATGCATTGACAAGTGTAAAATCACTCATGGTGCAATAAAAAAGGAACGAAGGAAGTATAACTTTTACAATATTCACTTATAGAGAATGAAAGTTATTGAAAGTTAAAATTTTACATTGGCAAGCGTGATAAATAAACACATCAAGTAAAAAAGAACGGAGAAAGTAATTATTACCAAATATCTAATCTATTCAATAATGTAAAGGGTTAATGAAAATCAAATTTCAAACTTTATGATTAAAGAGAGTGGCCATACATCCAATTATTTGGATGTAATTAACTATAAAAATATTCAACAAAACCAACCAAGTGAAGTGACCAACTCAAATTTTTCTTTAACTTTGTGATTTTGTGTGGATGAAATCATGAAACCCTGAGTATACCCTCCTTTTTTAAAAAAAATAAATAAATAAAATCTTTCCGTTCATCGTTTATTTGGTCAAATTTTAAAAATTTTGGCCGTAATTTGTAATTTATTTATAAGATGAAAATTATCATATGGAATGGTTAATTAAAATTGTTTAAGTGGTTTCATTTAATATATTTCCTTACGTGGTACTACTTCCGTTTTTTTAGTTGACACGTTTTAACTTTAGCACTATTCACACACTCTCTCTTAATTTTGTTTTGTGCTTTATACGTAATGAAAAATATAGTCATGTGATATCTTGTAAGATTTGTCATGATAAATGTTTCAAAATATCAAATTTTCATAATTTTTGCTTATTGGTAATTAAAGATATGAATGGTTAAAGTTGTGCATTGCCAACGTGATTAAAGAAACGTGTCAACTAAAAAGAAACGAAGAAAGTATTAATTTAGGAATACACGACAAAATGACGCGCAAAATCAATGTAATTAATGTTATATTTTCATTTGTATATTCTATTTTTAGCTTCTTATATGTAACCCTAAAGGCATTGTATAACATTTTCCTAAATTAAGTAGTTTCATAATATTAAGTTAGGTTTTTAATATCTTTACAAATATGAAATTAAATACGGAGTATACTAATAGTTAAAGTTATACATTTGAAATCGTGCAAAATGTGAATGAGAGCATAAAAAATGAGCGGAGGGAGTAGTTTTTTGAATGTATCTTCTGATAAAATAATACAACTTCTTTGAAACATTAATTATCTTTAATAAATATCCTTTAACTTTGTGACATTTGGACTATATCAATTATTGTGGAATGTAGTGAGGAATTACTTCAATTTTGTATATCGAAAATATTACACATATTTATTACAATATTCAATAGTGAACAAAATTATGTCAGTATATGAAAAATCGAATATTTAAAAGGCTCATTCGATATCTTAAACTTAAAAATCAGAGTGATCATACGTCTATTTTAAATATATACGAATCATTTTAAAAACATATGTATCAAGTAAGTGAAACGCAATTTACGTTTTCAATAATTGATTGAAAGAAAAGAGCTCTTCCATTGCTCTCATTGGTTTATACATTTTCAAATTTAATTTAATGCTTTAATCCCTCGCGCACTCTCTAGTTTGTTCTATCAAACCAAAAAAAGAAAAAAAACTTTTTTTTTTTTTTTGGGGAGAGGGGTTGAGGGTAGTTGATCATAACCAAATAAAATCCTACCAAAGTAACACTAGCAACAAACATTTAAATATTCTAAGCCAAGGTGTCATTCATTCACAATACTTTTCAAATCCCTTTATTTTTTTCTATTTATTTATTTATCCTTTTAATTTATATTCTTTTTACAGCCTAACTTTCAATTTTTAATCTTTAAAGCTCCCCTCTTCACCCTCACCCGCATTTCCATCCACACCACACTATTTGTCCAAACTTTGTTTAAACGGATCACCAAACAGGGCACAAAAAAGAACCAAACCAAACCAAAATAACCCTCACTTTCTCTCTCTTCCCTCACTTTCTCTCTCTAAAACTTAAAAAAAAGTAAAAGTCGACCCACCAAAAAAAAAGATAAAGTGGAGAATTCAAGGACTAACGGAGGCTTCCTCTGTGGTCTCTGCCCAGGAGAGAGAAACAACAAAAACAAGAGAGAGAAAAATAAAGCCGTTGATAAAACAACCGTTGAAGTTGAACAACAACAACCACCACCGTTAACTATGCAGAAATCCGACCACGCGCCGCCGCAACCGCCGCCACTTCCGACGATTCAGGGCATCACGAATTCCGGAAGTCTGAGCTTCAATAGTTCTACTAACATGAATATGGCTGATGAAGAGATCACTCGCTCTGCTTTGTCTAATTTTAGGGCTAAAGAAGAGGAGATCGAGAAGAAGAAGATGGAAGTTCGTGAACGTGTTCAGGCTCAACTTGGTCGTGTTGAAGAAGAGACTAAACGCTTGGCTTTGATTCGTGAGGTGAGCTTTCTCTCTCCTTTTTTTTTTTAAAATAATTTTTTGGAAATATCTTCCAATTTTAGGTGTTTATTTTACTTGCTCATGTTTTAATTTCTCTGTTTTTCTCATCTTTTGGGTTGAATTTGTTTTTTTTTTTTAAAAAAAAAAAATTCAAAAGAATTTGAAAATTCCTTGTAACGGTCTTATGCATCTAGTAAAAATTTCAAATTGTGTGTAATTCTTTCCATTTATTAGTTGTAAATTTGCAAATAAACCGACAAAATGACGAACCCATTTTTGGGTTTCTATACTTTTTCTGCTAGTTTTCTTTTTTCTAGGGCTCAATTATTGTTTTTAGTTTATTACTGTTTGTTGTTGATAGACGGAGAAACCCATCTTAAAACTCCTGAATTCTCGAGTTTTGTGGATTTAAATTTCAAACTGTTACCTTTGAGGATGTGTAAAATAGTGTAATTTGCTAGATCTGTGGAGTAAGATACCCGTGTTGGATACTCGACACTAGGACATGTTCATATTACTAGAATCATGCAATTTTCAGGTAAGATGGCCGTGTCAAACACTTCTAGCTGAGTCCGAGTAATATAATGTGTAGAAATACGTGTACCCGGGTTTTTGTTTGATGAAATTAGTGTTATAAACCTTGTTTTAAGTAGAAAATTATCGAATTTAAAGGGATCTTTCTCTTGTTATAGCATAATCAAAAAGGGAATTTCTGTTACCTTGTGAACAAGAGTAGTTTGAATTAGGTAGAAAGGTTTAATTGCCTTATTTTGTTGGTATTTTTCGTTTAAATCATATTCCAACTCTATCTGCAAGTTGTTACCGTTGTAGAGAATTGACAAGTTGTCCTTTAGCAAATATCAACGTCTATCTGACGAGAATCAGAGGTTATACCTTTTCTTTTGGCTAGAAGCTGAGAAAATATGAGTGTGTTTGTTTCTTGTATTTTCTACTTGGTTAGTTGAGAAGTGAAGTAATTATCTTTATTTGGATATTTTCCTTATTTGCAAAAGGAAATGTACAACAACCTAGTTTGAGAAGTGATTGAACTCGGGCTAATTTGAGCTATTAGGTTATCTGACTTGTTTCGCCGTAGTATGAAGGCTTGGGAGGGTGGATTATTAAGCTGTATACGGCTTCTTTCGATATATCTGCATGTGACAATTTGTAATCTTAATAAATAATGTTGTGCAACAATAGTAGAGAAAACTAGCCTAGTGTGTTGGATGAGTACTTTCTTCAATTTGAATTATTTGGTAACTGTTTCCTCCCATATTATAATTCCTTATTGAGAGAATTAAGGGGTGAAGGGAGGCAAAATTGAAAGAAAATGATTTGCTAGTAATGGAAAAATGTGGATGGAGCAATTGTGATTAATAATGTTTGAATTACCCTGCTGTGTCAGCCACAAACAAATCACATATAATATTGAATGTACATACACATTTAACATTATTCTCCGAGTATTTCTGCTGATCGTGAAGTGTCTTCTTTTTCTCTTTGCTAGTCTCCTAATGTTTCCTAATGTGGATTTGTGTTCCTTGGAGGTTTTAAAGATGGAAGTTGAAGATATTTGCCTATGAAATATTTGTGAAAACTGAAAACTAGATACTTTATTCTCGTGATTTATATTTGTGAAAACTAGATACTTTATCCTCGTAATTTATATGTGATCAGTCTGTGTTGTCTGCTGGATTATACTCAGTGTATCACTTATTATGTCGGTTTTGTGTTCTTGTACACAAATTCTGTCTGAGTGTAGTTAATATTTTTCTATAATATGATTCTGCAGGAGCTTGAAGCCTTAGCGGATCCAATGCGGAAGGATGTGTCTGTTGTGCGTAAAAGGATAGATGTGGTTAACAAAGAGCTAAAGCCACTTGGTACAAATGTCCAAAAGAAGGTACCTATTCATTCTACGTAAAATATATCTTAAATCCTCACAAATTGTTAAGTTCTTATAGATATAACCCCCTCTGTCTAGAATTAATAAATCACATTATATGTACAGTTATAAGTTCCTACTTGCAAAAAGTGTCACCTTTCTTAACATTGTAAGTATTGGATTTTCTAATATGCCTCTATTTAAATTAAGTGATCGGGAAAAGATAAAGAGTTAATATTTGCATGTTACATATACAGTTACAAGTTTCTGCTGCTAAAGGTGTCACGTTTCTTAACATTGTAATGGCTTATTATTGGATTTTCTAATATGCCTCTATTTAAATTAAATGATCAGAAAAAAGATAGAAATCACAACTACTAATGAGATATATGCTCCCCTTTGTATTAATGTTATATCGCTATTTATGACTGTTAAGAGGGGTCGAGAAATTCGACTACTGATTTCTAATGGTGGGATGGTGGGAGCAAATGCAGTATTAATATGATTTTAATTTTGAAAGAACTGTCAGTTAATATGTATCAATCACTCATATTGCCCTTGAAACCCCAACTTTTGACAGGAAAAGGAATACAAAGATGCGCTGGATGCATTCAATGAGAAGAACAAAGAAAAAGTACAGCTCATAAACAAACTGGTTGAGGTAAACCATTCCCTACATGAATGTTTGAGTTGTGTACATATCTTTCTTTACAATTGAGGTTACATTGTACTTCCACTTAACAATTCATCTGTTGGCTTACCTTTCTTGGATGGTCTTGCAGCTGGTAGGCGAAAGCGAGAGGTTGAGGATGAAGAAACTGGAAGAGTTGAGCAAGAGCGTTGAATCTATGCAATAATTGACTTGAACAGAACTTGTCCATAGATAATTAGGTTTGTGTGATGTAATTTAATTCTAACTCTAAATTTTTTTTCTCCCTTTTTCTTTATGTATTTATATATATGGGTGCCTGGAGTTTGGTGTATTCTGTGTACCCTTTTTCTATTTTTTTTTTGTTTCTCCCCCAAATTTGATTAGATCTTGATGCAATATCTGCTGATCTAGTAAAAGGGTAATATCTACCCAAATAGACAGGTTTGTAACTCGTAACATTTTCCAGACTTAAATTCGCCTCACCTTTGATTTCTTTTTACCTGGTTGTTTAGAACTTGTTATTTATAAGCTTTTAATTCGTTGTCCAATGTGTTTTCTTTCCTTCTGGATAGTGGGGCTTCTTTGTTGCCTCCCAGGTGAAGGTTAGTTGGTACAAGGTGCACTTTTGAGTGTATAATAACGTCCACTTATTGCATGTATTAAGAAACGAAAGAAGTTTATTAAGAAACGAAAGAAGTTTATCAACCACCTTGCACCTTTCTTTTTCAGGGTACTTTGTATCATGTATTTGATGTGTTTTCGGACTTGTAGAAATTGCTTGTTTGTTACTTAACTTGAAAAGTCCTAATACCTGCATATACTATATATGGTGATAGCTTTAAAATGAAAGCGGACCATATTAGCAACTTCTTTACAGGACCAAATAATTGCATTGTGTCATGTGCACATCAATTATATACGGTAAAGTTTGAGTACATTCATGACTTCCAACGGTGTGAAAGGCGATCAATCAATTTCAGTCTTTCTTTTACAGTGGAAGTGAGTTGGCTGGAATCCTTTTTAATAACCCCATTACATACAAAGTGTCTAGTACTCAATTTGAATGAGTATTATATACTCCACTCCAAACTTTTTCACTTTCGATTTGGTATTTCCCGGGCGAAATTGATTTTATTTTGACCTGAAATTATAATCTTTTGTACTCCCTTTGTCCCCATACTAATGTAGCGGTATAAATGTTTTATTTCAAATAAATAAAAAAATTTGCCTTTAACTTCTCATTTCACTTTTTTTAAACTATAATCTTTTATTGTTTGAATATGATAATATAATATGGTGTATGGATGTTTATACTATTGGAAATGGTAAGCTCTATTACATATTTTCTACTTTAATGATTATGAATTCTAATAAAAAAAAATTCATAATAATTAAATCATCATTGTACCAGGGGTGTACCACCCTTTGTAAATCTACAACAGTTTTTTTTTTTTTAAATAAATGTAACTAATTCCTTAAAGCATTATGTTATTCACTTCCATATTTATACCTTTTTAAATTAGATTTTCGCTACATTCATTCATTTTTGAATTTTAAAAACAGAGAGGAAAAATAGTTAAGAGAGAAATTGAATATTTAGATAGAGAAGTAGAAGGTTAATAGCAAAAACGGCGGTACGGGACGAATTTCGTCATAGTTCGGATCCCTGATTTGCAATGGATGATTATGAGGAAGAGTAGTTTTGATGATGATGGTGATTTTGTTGAGTTTGAATCCAAAGGAGAAGGTAATTTTTATATATTTACGTATCTAAGTTTTTTTTTTTTTTTTTTTTATTATTTTTTTTTCCTTCAGAATTTAGATCATGTGAAATAATCAATATTGATTTTGGTTTTGATAATCAATAATTAATTTTCAATTATTACTAGTTTTTGCATTTTTTTTGAATTTGTGTTATTTTTCAGAGGTTTAAGACGATGTTCCTCGGATTATGATGAATGTTCTTTTTCATTTTTTTGATACATATTTAATTTTTATCATTTAAATGAGTATGTTCTTTAAGTTTGATCAATATGTTTTATGAGTCTAACCTATATGTTCTTTACATTACAAATTATATTATTCAAGGTATGTAGATTAAAAATACTCTTTTGTTAAACTTTTATGTGCTTTAAAGGCTTACGTTCTTTGAATTATCTCTTATGTTATTTGAACTTGACCCTAATATTCATATGATTTTTATGAAATTTTTAATTATTATAATTATTATGATATTTTTTTAAATATCATTTATTAATTATGTATTATTTGCATATTTATTATCATCTATTTTTTTTTTTTTGTTGAAATCAGGATCATGAAGCTTGATAATGATATTTTTTTGGGACCTCCTCTAGTGATAAAGAACATTTGTAATATTAATGAATAACATAATTATATTATGTAATCAACATTATGTATATTTACCCATCTTGATCCAAAGACAAAATTCAAAGAACATTTCACAATAAACAATGAACATTATATGACGAAAAAAGTACATCATAAAAGTTGAACATGATAAGGATACAAAATTCAAAGAACATTTCACTATAAGTAATGAACATGTGACTATAAAGAATTAACATATAAAATAGTTTATTTCAAGGATATAATAAAGATCATTATAATATCAAAATATACATATGAAATAACATAATGTTAATAATTAATTATACATGACAAACAAATATAAAGTACATCATGTTTTCAGATAATGAACAATATTAAATCATGTAAAGAATATCACAAGTAATAATACACATGAAAAAGAAATATTGAAAAAAAAAAATTAATTTTGAATTACGATTTTGAATTATAAAATTAAATCTTAAATTATATTTAAGTAAAAATAATATTAGGAAATGATAATTATTCTAATGAGGAACTGATTTTTATTTTATTTTATTTTTATTTTTTATTTTTTTTTGGGGAAAGAAAGGAAATGACTGGGATGAAAGTTTATATTTTTGAAATCTACACATTAATTTTGGGTAAAAAATATTCCGTAGTTATCTTTCCTATATTTGAAATATTCCCTCTGTAAATAACACGTTCTTTTCATTTTGCCTTATATTCTTTATAGATGTACCAAATATGATACACTTGGATGTAGAAACCATGCACGGTGTGTTGACAAAACCATATATCCAACTTTTTTTGACAACCAATATATCCAACTTTTTTTTTTTTTTTTTTTTTGAATAGACCGATATGACCAACTTAGTACTTTGTAGTTGGTATGTATTAAACATTAGTTTTTGTTATCTGGTTGTCTCTATTATTGAGTAGTTAGGGAGAAGAATACTTCACGGAATTTTGTTATCTTTAATTTAATTAGGAATATAAGAAGAATTTTTATACAAGGTATGCTTTCCCTCTAGCTATTTGAATTCTTATATAGCACACCCATTTACCCAACTATTTTTATAAGCCATATGTGGAAATCAATACTTTGTATTACATTCACATTATCACAATTTTTTGTATGCGGCCTGCTGTACCTTGCGACAGGAGTTACTCAAGTTACTCCTGTCAAGGGTTACTTGAGTTGTCGGGGTTATTCGAGTTTCTCGGTCAGGGGTTACTCGAGTTGCCGGGGTTACTCAAGTTACTTGATCAGGGGTTACTTGAGTTACTCCTGATCGAGTAACCCCTGACTGAACCCTCAAGCAACCCCTGACCGAACTGCTTAAGTAACCCCTAACCGAATTACTCGAGTAACCCCAGACCGAACTCCTTAAATAACCCTTGATCGAGTAACTCGAGTAACCCGTGACCGAGTAACTCGAGTAACCCCTAACGATTATCTCGAGTAACCCTGACTGAGTAACCCCTCAAGTAACCCTTGACCGAGTGAACCCCTCGAGTAACCCCTATCCGAACCCCTCAAGTAACCCTGACCGAGTAACTCGAGTAACCCCTGACTGAATAACTCGGGTAACCCCTAACAAAATAACTCGTGTAACTGAATGTGGGGAAAATAGGTCATTGACTAACCTCCTAACGGTCAAATAAATTTATAAATCCTAAAACTAACCCCTAAACAAGTCTAGTGGTAAGTTCGGAGTCGAACCACAAGGAACGGTAATGCTAGATTGTTCTTGATCTAATGCTTAAGCTATGCCGAAGTCGGTTTATGGATAGAGGATACTACAACTACACCAAAACACATATAAAGAACAAGGTATGATAAAGTCTACTAGGGGAAAAGATTCACTTTGAACATTTAATAAGCAAATGAGAATCCATTTGATAATCAATCATGCAAAGAAAGAATTAAAATGGGAATTAACTACACTAAAAAATAATCTCTCAAATTCCTAGCCTAGCTCCCCCATTGACTAGGTGCATAGAAGAAATTTTCCCAAAATGCAATCAAATATATTAATTCTAATTCACAATCCCTTGTCAAACTAGAACCAATATGCAATTAAGTTTGCTATCATGGGAGATCAATCCACTCTAAAACAAACAACATGCCATCATCAATCCAATTAATTTAATCACACAATTATCATCAATTTTATCTCAAATAACTCAATTAATCATTACAAAATTTCACTCAACACTTAGTAGAAGGGAAACTACTCAAATATGATGAAAGCAATTAAATAAAGCATAAAGAGAAGAGAGAGTAAGAAATGCTCATTGATATAAATGGAGATCTTCAAATCATCGAATTCCTCCTTTGATTATCCAAAATCCATGAAAACCGTTGTGTGTCTCACTTTTTCTCTCTAAACAGCTAAAACTAACCTAAAAAAACTACTGAAAAAATGAATTCCTCCTCTAAAATGAGCAAAAAATCTATTTATACCCTTTACTAAATTGCCTAGGAAGCTCCGTAAAAAGTTGAGCAGCACGTATAGGAGAGGGCGCTCCAACGTCAGTGCACGGGCGCTCCTAGCTGCAACAGTGAAAAGTAGAATCGTTCCAGAAAGTTTGGAGCAGGCGCTCCTCTTAGACTGCGTGCCCGCTCCTTCGCGCTGGACAAAACTACTCAGCTTCAAACGAACATAACTCTCTCGTTTTACATCAGAATTGAGCATATGACCTGTCTTTGGAAAGCTCTTAAGATAAGCTTTCATCTCCAATTAGAATCACTCATAAATGTTTTTTAGATAAAAAGTTATAGGAGTTCGAAGTTCGATCTTTGCAAATCAAGTGCACATTTCTTCATTACTTGTTCTTTTATGTTTTATATTTCTATAATCTTGAGCAATGAACTTATCTAAGTGTTCCTAAACATAGAAATAAACCAATAAAGTTTAATCTAATGCAAGAAGCAACCAAAAATATGCAAGAAAAGCCAAAATTGATCAATAATGACATTTCACATGCAAACACGACAAATGAAATAAAACCTTATTAAAACCAAGTAAAAAGATGTCAAAACAATAAAAAAAAACTAACTAAAAACTCCTAAAAAATAGTGACATAAATGACACTTATCAAATTCCCCCAAGCTTAACTTTTGCTCGTCCTCGAGCAAAACAA